GACTTGAGAAGGAATGCAAGGCAAGCTGGGACTACTTGGCAAAGGTAATATTTTTTGCTTCACGACAGCTTTCTGGGACCTCTTGGGGAAGAATCGTACACCTTTTGGGTAAAAATTGACTCCACTCAATAGTGAAGGTTTAGATCTCGAAAAATGACAACTCGTCAATGCGCCAGAAGATCAACGACTACTTGACAGATGTCGCACAACGGATTCATCAACTCAATACCATTCACAACGTCACTATCAACAGGTAAGACTATGGGCATTACTTCGCAGTGTTAATCAGTTCCTTCAAAATATGCCACCCCAGAGAACACGAAGGAGTAAAAGTGTTCTCCTCCCTTACCCCTCGGAATGGTGTGGTGACAATTGGACGCTTTCCCTACGCCCGGTCCGGGGGTCAAATCCCGGATCGGCTTCTAATGTTCTGGCTGACCGAGGGGGTGGAGCGTTACATTGGTACCTGTTCATCTGAGAGGATGATGGCATTGACTCGTTCATTGGTTGGCGTCTGGTGGTAAGGTCACGGTGAGCGGACTGGTGGGCGTGGCTCGCGCCTCGTCCGTGACCACCGCGCCCATCGTTGCACAATCCGCTGGGAGTAAGTGTGCCTAATAAATTAGGCTGCGTTCCGATCACTTTGCGGCCGCAATCGCCAGCGTTTAGTGAGCGCTCCGGCCACGGCTACGCAGCGCGCACCAGTGTCCAGCCATTTGAGTGGATGAAGAACGAGCTCCCCCCCTGTGCCCTAGGAGAGGTAACAGGGTATCCGATTCTAGCGGAGCGCTCAGCGCTTCAGCCTCCGCTCAGCGTGCCAGCCAGCTTGCCAGCGTCACCAGCTGTCGCAGGAAGTAGAGTAATGGGGATAAGAGATAGGTGCAGAAGCTGAACTAGGCGCGTAAAACTCGCGATGTGGTGCAAACGCAGCACCGTACATAAACCGAATATGTCAATTCTAACGTAGATCTAGCTGATATGTTGTAGCGGCTGCGCCCACGGTTCGGCGATGACTAGAGTCCAGGCCTATCTGCTACGCTCGCTACTTTTGCTGGGTAAGTCGCACTAATGGACCTCGGCGTTTGCTAGATTGATACCTATGTTCCCTAGTCTCTAGAGACACTGATGGACGCTAGCAGACGCTTGGAACTCTAATGTTCGCTGGTGGACACTGCCGCAAAGTATGAACGCAGTTTTAGGATTGTCTTGTCCGTCTCCCCACGTTGAACGGTCCATTTTGGGCTGTCAATGATCCCCGTCGTGTAGCTTGGGCAATAAAAGTAAGACTATCAGTGGGGGTGATAACTGTAATACTTCATTCAAACAAAAGCAAAAGATCTTGTATAGCTGGCAAGCTGACGAGAAAATATCAATTTTTAAGGTGGCACGCATTTCTGCTCTACTTTGGCTATGGAGTGAACGAGATTCCCGATCAGAATCCAAATGATGTCTTCAAAATGGTGAGCCAAATTTTTCACAACTCGCTACTTCTCTACGGAGTATCTCATTATGTCCGTATTTAGGTGACGGAATTTGCTTTGGAATACCGTACAACACGTGAGAAAATCCTTCAACAACGTAAACGTATGGCTGAGAAACGTGAAAGGAATAAAACGAGGTGAGCTGGTTGAACGTGATCCCACGGGACAGCTCCCACATGATATTGACAATTCAGAGGCAAGATATGGGCTCTCGAAGGCACTGCTGACGGTGGTGACCCGAACCGACGACGAAGAACCTCACAAAATGGACCCAATTCTCTGCAGGTATCAAATATCCTGCCATTCCTTGTTATTTTGTCAACCTGCTCTACGAACTCGGTGTGTGGAGCGTCAACGCTGTTCGGCTTGGGAGGGGGTGGGGGAGGACATATTCTGTTCACTAGTTTCTTTTAGTAGTTCCATTCGGGTTACATACAGTCTTATTCGTTGCGGATGCTGAAGCGTCCCAAAGGGCTGGCTGTGGCGCGGCGCCAGCCATTTTCTACCATGAAGAAACGGACAAGCGGCAACAATTGCTGGAAAACGGCATGGCACGCTCTAGACCCCAGCCCCCACTCCCCTCCCGCCTGAAGCACCCTAGCATCCGAAGCAAATTTCTAAGCCTGTCCTGCATTCAGCGAAATTTCTCAACTCAGGCCAGAACTAGACTGTTGGAGTTACCCTCCGTTCTAAAGGAAACCGAAAAATTCAAAGCGGAAATGATTTCAGCGACATGAGGAATTGTCTCGGATGTTGAACGACGCAGGCGACGGAACCTTGAGAAGGCGTGCCAAGCCGTCCAACGATGCAAATGCTAACAAAGGTCTGTATTGTTCTCTAAAAAAAGGAGAAGAAAAAGAAGGAGAAAGAAAAGATCAAGAAAAAGTTCTCAATTTGTATGGTCGCGTTCTGGATGTGCAAGCCTACTTGCGAAACCCTGATTCTTTCACTGGCGCGTGTATTTCGAAAAGTCTTCGGTTCCGCGCGTGCGTCTAATCGATTTTCTCAGTCTACACACAGAATCGCGACGTTTCTTGCGCTGAGAAGCGATCAGCTACGCGTGCGTGCGTGCGTGCGTGCGTGCGTGCGTGCGTGCGTGCGTGCGTGCGTGCGTGCGTGCGTGCGTGCGTGCGTGCGTGCGTGCGTGCGTGCGTGCGTGCGTGCGTGCGTGCGTGCGTGCGTGCGTGCGTGGTGCGTGTGCGTGTGTGCTCTCTGATTGTGTGTGTGTGTGTGTGTGTGTGCGTGGCGTGTATCGTGTGCGTGTGGTGTGTGTTGTGTGTGTGTGTGTGAAGTTCCTCAGGATTTCGGGATATGAGAGTTTTTGGACTTTTCTTAGCTGAAAATGGATCGTGTATATCGAAAAATTCACTTTCTGAGAAATTTTGACTGATTTCCAGATCCTATTGATCCGGCCAATGACTCTCCCGAAGACGAGATTCTAAATGGACTTGTCAAAGCAGCCACGTTGCAGTCCGAAACCCGGGATCATCGACGGAAAGCACGGCAGTTCAATCGCAAGTCATGTACGTCAACTTGGTTTTCACGGAGGTTCTTTCAGTCCTAAGCCATTTGAGCACTCAGTTGAAGGACTAAGGGAAGACGAATTGCACTAATCCAGGGCTTAGTGAAAGACTATTCCACGTATGGTCGTATGGGCGGAGCAGGAACCATCATTAAGCCTTTTCTCATTGGCGCGCGCCTAATATTGATCATCATGTGATGAAAAGTGGCCGTTTATCGAGGAAGACTCAAGGTTCTGCCTGGCTCCATGGGTACGATCAATCGTGGAGTGCACCTTTAAACAGTAACGATTCTCAATGGCCTCTCAATTGCAACTATGACAGTCTGGAGAGTTTGAGGGAGCGTTTATGGACTGCTAGTAGAACTGTACCTCATTAAAATCGTCCGCTCACCTCAAACATTCTACGCATCTTTTTTAATGTCTTTTTTGTGTAGTTGGAAAGGGGAGAGTTGGAGACTGCGGTGTTGGGTTCCATTGAACAACGTTAAAGGCGCAGTCCACGTTGATTATATGGGCGGAGTTACGCAATGTGCCAGGCGGAGCCGCTCTCTAACGAGAACAAATCCATGTGAAGCCTATTACGCCATGTTGTCTAGATGTGAAGCTGACATGTTTCTGACACTGGAACGTCATTTTCGTTCTGACACGTCTTCGAAATAGAGCGCAGACGAGCAAATATGACGTGGGTGTGGTCAGGTGACCATTTGAGTTTTCCCGTATGGTCTTGTGAAAGCCTGCATAAAAGACAGTTACTGGATGGCGCCCCCAAATCATTGAAATGCAACGAACGATCGAGCGTGGTGAGCCAGGGAAACGGGCTCCATAGGGAGGGGACTCCGATGGTGAGCGAGCCACTTGCCATGCTTGAAAATGTCTAATGGACCGGTACTGTGGTATATCAGAAATGGCGCAGCAGAGAGATTGCTGAGAAAAACAGTAAACTGACGGAGAGTAGTCTGTTAACCCGTGGGCTGACCCCCTAAAGAATGGCTCTTCCCAAGCGGACGTGCCGCACATTGGGAAATCCCCGATGAGGTGTGGGGTGGGTCTGTTTGTTCCGAGATGACAAACTTTGATTGACTGCTTTTTTTTGTTTTGTTCCAGACGCGGCTTTCACTGTTCCTTCCCCCTCTGAATTCTAGTTGCTCGCGCCCACAAAACTACTATGCAACATTACTTCTGATAAAATATATTATAAAAAATTAAAAATAAAATGAAGTTAAATTAATCGATATATCTAAATCATAAAATTAATATCAATAGAAATATTTGCTATTAATATTTCGCGTAGCGATTCTCCCGCTCGACGTCGGCGATTTTTTTTCTGGAGGTAACTGGTGATCACTTCCAAAAAAAATGATAAGGGCTGGAACCATTCCAGCAAGATTGGCAGTAGACAGGCAACAGGGGTCGGCCACTGGAGGGAAAAAAATTTGCATGGGGTGCCCCAGCCAAATTTTCTCGGCCGTATTAAGAACAGAAAGCTATTATTGTTTGATGTAACCACAGGCTACGGATATAAGCTACTTGTAAAAAGCCTTCAGCCTTGCGGTTCACTGCCGATATCGGCTAACCGGCTCATCACGTTGAACGTGTGAGTGCTAAGGCAATGGCACAAATAGCCATCGAGCTGAGAGGTCAAAAGTGGCCTGGTAGCGTAACAGGGAACGCAACTGCCTGGTAAGCAGAAGATGCGGTTCGACTCCACACACTCACACCTCACATCTCTCGCCCACAAGTTCAGCAATTCTTGTGATAAGGCACAAATTTTTCCCCTGAGCCATACCCAAGGCGGGTCACTATCCTAGTATTGTGCCATCCTCGCTGGCGAATTTCTCATCTTTGAAGACGAGAACACATCAGTGCGAAAGGCAGTGGTAGTGGTAGAGATAGTAGGCATGGTAGTCCGACTCCGCCCATAAAGTGAGCGTGGAAAGTCCTCTATGTTTCGGACTGGAACAAAAAAAGTGTTATTGTTGATCATCGTTAAACTACACACAATCAGTGCCTTGTCCAGCACTTCTGATGGAGGCTTCGTTTTAGCAGTACAATTCGAGGTCCACAAAGGTGGTGGATGTCGTCCCGAAGGGGCTCATAACATATCTTTCCGATATTTTTTCATTTCAGTACGCCGTACGAGGACGTTGAAACTGGTCGATGGCCAACTGGAGACGAACTATTGAGACTGAGAAGATTGGTCCCGTTTTGGAGGGTTTCGTTTATTTTGTTCTTCATCACCTTCTAGTCGCTGTACACTGCCTTTCCTTGTGGTATCAATAATTTCTCGTTGTTGTCCGTTTGTTCTTTTAGTGAAAATCGTCTATACGCTAGAATCATCAAGCATATTGTTGTCACTGGTATTTCATTTGTAGAGCTCTTTCTATGAAGAGATGCATTATTGTTTGGCTTTTAACGTTTCTTCCAATTTCTCTTTAATTCTCTTTATCTTCTTCATATTTTTCATCATCATCATCCTCATTCTCATCATCATCATCATCATCTCTCTTTTCTCTCTCGTCTTCTTTGATTCGTATGCCGCCGGTAAGCGGGTGGTCTGCTCGTTAGTTTGAAAAAGAAACACTCGGAATATTTCGCCTCTTAAACACTTGACAAGTGCCCTGTGAGATTATTACAATTGCTACGCATTGTTGTACAGAAATTCTTGAATAAATATTATATTGAGTCAAGTGGATGTAAACAGGCTCCTTAGCACAAACAAGGTAGGGCGTGGCCGCGCAATCTATTTGAACACAGCGCAAGATGCACTTTTCTGGCAGCTATCGAAAAGCGCAAGCGCAATGCACCGTTGCGATCGCAGAGGCGGTTGTGGTACAGTCCCGCTAAGTGATCATGTTTTTGCCAACCCTATTTTATGCGGAAATGATGTGGGATAGCCAATTTGTGGCCGCCTATAAACGCATAACAACCTCTCCAAGTTTTGATCCCGCGTCTGATACGAATCAACCAAAAATGCAT